CTGTGATATACAATTTGCGCATGCGCATTTGTCTCAATTTTCTTTAGTTTGTTTGCTTCAAATATTTAGTCAATAGCTCTATCCATAGTATATAATCTGTGTTCGCCGACATGGGTACTCGTAAACCGGCCGGTTAAACTCCTGGTGTTTAAGGGGTTCCGCATAGGCAACTTTAAAGATATTTCTAATATTAATTTTTATAATAATATAAGTTTAGGAGTACCCCGGAGTAGGTGGCCACCTCTATAGAATTAATAATCTAATTGACATCACTTAATATAACTAATTATAATATAATAAATAAATTGACTTTTTTCCGTTGCTTTTTTTTTCCTATATTCATAGCGATGTCACTTGTTTATTCCATAGCAGGGTATACGGTTCCAATATGTGCAAATAATGCGAGCATAGCTTAAATAAATACGCAACTAAATAGTGCAATGAATAGTGATGTAGTACCTAAGATCTATACCACTTCTTTGGTTACCAGTCTTTGCTAATATTACACCACTAAACATCAGAAAGGACCACAGATATATAAACAAAGGTTTATTTATGTATATCTAGGGAAGGGACATAAGGTCATATAAGGTTATAAGGTGGTTGACAAAGGCCGAGACTATTGATTATCTATATATAGATAGTCCACGGGTATGGGTGAAAAGGAAACCGACAAATTATAGTAAAGGGAAGTCCTCAACTCGCCGTGTAATTTTGTTTCGAGTGAAATACTTTTTTCTGATTACCTCATATTATCATGGTCGACAAATTTTGTTCGTGTCTACCAAGACGTTACCGCGANTCATTTTTTTAAAATTTTTATTTAAAATTGACATTAAATGTAAATTAATATTAAATTTTAATACTAGTTTAAATTCAATATGAACTTTGTGAAGGTAAATAATATCTAATGTTATGTAAACGTAAAATGAACATTTTTTTAAGGGTAGATATGCACTTCATGTATAAAGTTTATTGAATTAAACACTTTATACAACTGTAGTTATGATGTAAAATCACAAACTAGTACTAGTAAGTACAATACCGAGTAATTTTAATATAGGTTGTACCATTGATTTTAAAATCAATACCTACTAGTAGAACGTAACTATTAAAAATAGGTATTATATAATATATTAAAGGTGGATTAACCCACCTTTTTTATCATAAAATAATATTATTTTTTAATAACCATAAACATGTCGTTTTCGCGAATGTATAGATAACCAAACCATAATCATGTAATCATAACTGATAATTAATAAATCGAGGTTAATCGCCAGAACACCTCTCGCGTTTAACCAAAGTGGTTTTAAATGGTACGTACCAAACGTAATAAAATAATTTCCAGAAATATTAGTTTTGGCAATTGTCGTAAGTCCGATAAATAATACAATTATGTTCCTATTTCAAACATAACAAAATATTCGTATAAATAATATTATGCCGTGATAAAATCCGTAATGATCAAAACAATAATAATATAACCGTTAAATAATTTAAAAGCTAGTACTTTTTCGAGGTTAAGGTTTGTATTATTTTATTTAACACAGTGTCGGACAATTTCGGATTTTTGCTGCTATATTGTACCAGGGGTTCATGAACACGAGTGGATATTCTACGGTAGTAACGGTCGTCCGGCAGTCGGTCGATTGCCCGCCACTACGTAGAAACTCTCACCTTCTGTTCTCCTGGTACCAATCGTGGAATTTTGTTACGGAGTTTTTCTCTGTCTTCATATTGTCGGAAACTCGATTTTTCTATTCCGTTGTACGTCGGCTACTTTTTAAAGCCGCTACTTGCATTCAATGCGTATATTTAAACTACTTTTCACACTACTCTATTACTATGGCTAATAAATATCACAATCTGAATTATGATTTTAAATAGTATGTATGAGGAGCGATACGGCTTAATAATATGAGAGTATTCATAGAGAAGTACAAGTGATTCGATACGAAGTAGAACGTAATTAATTAAAATTAGTTAATCGTATAATGCAAGTTAGTAAACTATATTATTAAAGTGGATATTGTTTGGGTAATAATTCAATGGCATCGGGTTTTTTGACAGAAAATGGTATGAATAATAAAAAACCTGAAGAAAATTTGAGACGGTGAAATATTGATGGCGAAATGATAATAATTATAATAATTATAATTATTCATAAACAATTTGATATAATAATGTTAATATATTTTAAAAAAAATGTGGGATAATAATAACCACACATTTTTGGTGACTGGTAAATTAATAACGATAATGAATGATAATGTTTGATGTTGATAAGGTTGATAGATAACACAGGTCACTNTTATGGTGCATGATTTGTTTGCAGATGATACAATTTTGACAATAGAAAATCTGGAAGAAGTTAACGAAAACTTAAGGAATTGAGAATAGCACAGTAAAAATGTTGCAATTAACAGGTGTAATGGAACTAAGAATAAGTAGGAGTAAACGTTTTGTATATAGGGTACATGTTTCAAAAACAGGAAAATAAAGTAACAATAAAGATAATGACAATAAGCGGTCGGTGACGTAATAGATGAAGTTATGAGTTCTAATTAACTAAAATCGTTTGTACAAAGGAACGATGGCTGGAAAATGAAACTTAGAATTTAGTTTGATTGGATTATTAAGTTAAGAGAAGTTTCAGATGTTTTATGTAACAAAAGTATTACAATGACACTTAAATGTAAGTTCTTCAAGAATATAATGAGACTAGCTAATTTGTATAATTTGGAATATTGGGTGATAAACAGGAAAATAAAATCATGGGTAGACCAGAAAAAACGAGATTATTAACGAATATTATTACCAAGGCTAGGATTTGTATGCATTAAAAAATTGTAAAATATACATTTTATTTATCAAAATATGCAAAAATATGCATTTTAATTTTTATAAGATAAACACAAAAATATAGTTACAAAAAAAAATATTTATCTATTGAAATACAGGTTGGCTGTTTGTCTTAAAAATAAAATAAAATAATTTAAAAATTAATAAAATTAATATTTCGCATTCACTACGTGTGTTACATGCTACAACCACATATTTTTTTAAATTTTCGAAAATGAATGATCGGCGATTGGATCGTAGTATGGCTTTGTATTGACTGAAGCTCCGTTCAAAGTCACATGATGTAGTTGGCGCGTATTTAAGTAAAGATATTTGTCCTGGTGTTAGGTGTAAGCTAACAAGGTTACAACTGAAATTGTCCTCATCCGATTCACCATTCAATATTTTATTTATTGATTGTAGAGTTTTAAATCCTTTATTTTTTTGTAAAATCAAGGATAATTTGTTCTTAACTTTATCTGCAACTCTTCCGTTACACTCAAGAAGTCGATCCCTTACGTTTATCATAATCTGTAGACTTTCATGAAGTGTTAAACTCTTGTTTTGTAGTTTAATTATAACTTGGGATAAAAAGCAAAAATTACTTTTAATATATGCCAAATCATTTTTTAAATTTTAGTTATCAAATAATTCTTTAGCTTTATTTATCGAATCTGATTCGATTTTTGGTGTTTATTTGTATTTAAATGCTGAAGTACTTGAAACCGTTTTGTGCAAAATAAAAACACCACCATTTATCTCATCATGAGGTGATTCGTGGACATTACTAACAAAATCAATAATCAGAAGTCAAAAAAAACATGCTGTTGCATACAAATCCTAGCCCTGATTATTACATAAAATAACTAATGCCTATGTAATTATTTTACCATAATATGAAATACATATTGTTGACAAAGCAACGCTATCAACCGAATTCCGCTCAGAATCGTTTTTTCGTTAACAATGGTTTATCATCGCTTACATATATACGTTAAATTTCCCCTTTACTACCTTCTAAATTCTCACATATAACAGTGGCTGCACCCGTCCTCATTAAACCAAAAACAGCTTGTTATATTGTTCTCTTGTTCATCTTCTAATCTACTCATCTTCTTAAGCTTATGATCATCTTTTTATGCATTTTCCGGTTATCTTTACTACACTGGGAAACAACAATATCAATAGCAGATTATTTAGCTCAACTGAAATCATTTTTTGACCATAACAATTAACTGTTGCTTTTGGTATATAAACTAAATTACCTTATTTCCTATACCTCACACTTCACACCTTCGGACCTACAACTAGTGACGTAGTGGAGGGTATACACGGATATACGGCGTACACCCAAAGCGCCAAAACCCTTAAATGCGTATAGGACAGAAAATAATACAAATACGCGGATATGCGATCGTAGACTGTTTAATGATAACCATAATAAAAATATATGTAATTTAAAAATTTCTAATTTTGATTTAATCTCATCGCTCTGAGAGAACTGGGGTGTCACCATTATTAAAATATACGTCTGCCGTAATACTGATAACTGAACAACAATGGGTAATAGGAAAACCTTAAATCTTTCAAATGTCATAATACTCACGATTTTCGCATGGCCTATCTATTTATCATCGAAAGTTATTAATAAATTACATTGAATACTACGTAGAGTTGAAACGTATATCTATGGACATAGACAACAAGAGTTTTATATAATATGAGTTTAAGGGGTAATGCTAGATTTGATCGTAGGAGTAGCCTTAGTAGGTGAAGTTTTGAGTTTAGCTTTTTGCGTTTGTTTTTTAGATGAGATGACCATGTTAGGCGTCTGTTGAATATTAAGCTGACGTATTTCACTTCATTTGAGTGAGGAGTTAGGCGTCTGTTGAATATTAAGCTGACGTATTTCACTTCATTTGAGTGAGGAATGATGGTGTTATTTATTGATAAAGGAGGGCAGTTGTTGGGACTGAATGCAAATGTGATGAAGGGAGACTTCGATTCGTTGATTTTCATTTTCCATTTAGTGAACCATTGGGAAAGAGTGTCAATGTGTAATTGTAGTTGTAGTACAAGTGATTCGATTCGAAGTAGAACGTAACTAATTAAAATAGCATTATATATTATAGCTCCAACTTTTTCAAAACTTCGGAATTAGTGACCTGTGTTATCTATCAACCTTATCAACATCAAACATTATCATTCATTATCGTTATTAATTTACCAGTCACCAAAAATGTGTGGTTATTATTATCCCACATTTTTTTTAAAATATATTAACATTATTATATCAAATTGTTTATGAATAATTATAATTATTATAATTATTATCATTTCGCCATCAATATTTCACCGTCTCAAATATTCTTCAGGTTTTTTATTATTCATACCATTTTCTGTCAAAAAACCCGATGCCATTGAATTATTACCCAAACAATATCCACTTTAATAATATAGTTTACTAACTTGCATTATACGATTAACTAATTTTAATTAATTACGTTCTACTTCGTATCGAATCACTTGTACTTCTCTATGAATACTCTCATATTATTGAGCCGTATCGCTCCTCATACATACTATTTAAAATCATAATTCAGATTGTGATATTTATTAGCCATAGTAATAGAGTAGTGTGAAAAGTAGTTTAAATATACGCATTGAATGCAAGTAGCGGCTTTAAAAAGTAGCCGACGTACAACGGAATAGAAAAATCGAGTTTCCGACAATATGAAGACAGAGAAAAACTCCGTAACAAAATTCCACGATTGGTACCAGGAGAACAGAAGGTGAGAGTTTCTACGTAGTGGCGGGCAATCGACCGACTGCCGGACGACCGTTACTACCGTAGAATATCCACTCGTGTTCATGAACCCCTGGTACACAATATAGCAGCAAAAATCCGAAATTGTCCGACACTGTGTTAAATAAAATAATACAAACCTTAACCTCGAAAAAGTACTAGCTTTTAAATTATTTAACGGTTATATTATTATTGTTTTGATCATTACGGATTTTATCACGGCATAATATTGTCATAAAGTCATAATACTCACGATTTTCGCATGTCCTATCTTTTTATCATCGAAAGTTATTAATAAATTACATTGAATACTACGTAGAGTTGAAACGTATATCTATGGACATAGACAACAAGAGTTTTATATAATATGAGTTTAAGGGGTAATGCTAGATTTGATCGTAGGAGTAGCCTTAGTAGGTGAAGTTTTGAGTTTAGCTTTTTGCGTTTGTTTTTTAGATGAGATGACCATGTTAGGCGTCTGTTGAATATTAAGCTGACGTATTTCACTTCATTTGAGTGAGGAATGATGGTGTTATTTATTGATATAGGTGGGCAATTGTTGAGCCTGAGTGCAAATGTGATGAAGGGAGACTTCGATTCGTTGATTTTCATTTTCCATTTAGTGAACCATTGAGAAAGAGTATCAATGTGTAATTGTAGTTGAAGTACAAGTGATTCGATTCGAAATAGAACGTAATTAATTAAAATAGCATTATATATTATAGCTCCAACTTTTTCAAAACTTCGGAATTAGTGACCTGTGTTATCTATCAACCTTATCAACATCAAACATTATCATTCATTATCGTTATTAATTTACCAGTCACCAAAAATGTGTGGTTATTATTATCCCACATTTTTTTTAAAATATATTAACATTATTATATCAAATTGTTTATGAATAATTATAATTATTATAATTATTATCATTTCGCCATCAATATTTCACCGTCTCAAATATTCTTCAGGTTTTTTATTATTCATACCATTTTCTGTCAAAAAACCCGATGCCATTGAATTATTACCCAAACAATATCCACTTTAATAATATAGTTTACTAACTTGCATTATACGATTAACTAATTTTAATTAATTACGTTCTACTTCGTATCGAATCACTTGTACTTCTCTATGAATACTCTCATATTATTGAGCCGTATCGCTCCTCATACATACTATTTAAAATCATAATTCAGATTGTGATATTTATTAGCCATAGTAATAGAGTAGTGTGAAAAGTAGTTTAAATATACGCATTGAATGCAAGTAGCGGCTTTAAAAAGTAGCCGACGTACAACGGAATAGAAAAATCGAGTTTCCGACAATATGAAGACAGAGAAAAACTCCGTAACAAAATTCCACGATTGGTACCAGGAGAACAGAAGGTGAGAGTTTCTACGTAGTGGCGGGCAATCGACCGACTGCCGGACGACCGTTACTACCGTAGAATATCCACTCGTGTTCATGAACCCCTGGTACACAATATAGCAGCAAAAATCCGAAATTGTCCGACACTGTGTTAAATAAAATAATACAAACCTTAACCTCGAAAAAGTACTAGCTTTTAAATTATTTAACGGTTATATTATTATTGTTTTGATCATTACGGATTTTATCACGGCATAATATTGTCATAAAGTCATAATACTCACGATTTTCGCATGTCCTATCTTTTTATCATCGAAAGTTATTAATAAATTACATTGAATACTACGTAGAGTTGAAACGTATATCTATGGACATAGACAACAAGAGTTTTATATAATATGAGTTTAAGGGGTAATGCTAGATTTGATCGTAGGAGTAGCCTTAGTAGGTGAAGTTTTGAGTTTAGCTTTTTGCGTTTGTTTTTTAGATGAGATGACCATGTTAGGCGTCTGTTGAATATTAAGCTGACGTATTTCACTTCATTTGAGTGAGGAATGATGGTGTTATTTATTGATATAGGAGGGCAGTTGTTGGGCCTGAGTGCAAATGTGATGAAGGGAGACTTCGATTCGTTGATTTTCATTTTCCATTTATTGAACCATTGGGAAAGAGTGTCAATGTGTAATTGTAGTTGTAGTACAAGTGATTCGATTCGAAGTAGAACGTAACTAATTAAAATAGCATTATATATTATAGCTCCAACTTTTTCAAAACTTCGGAATTAGTGACCTGTGTTATCTATCAACCTTATCAACATCAAACATTATCATTCATTATCGTTATTAATTTACCAGTCACCAAAAATGTGTGGTTATTATTATCCCACATTTTTTTTAAAATATATTAACATTATTATATCAAATTGTTTATGAATAATTATAATTATTATAATTATTATCATTTCGCCATCAATATTTCACCGTCTCAAATATTCTTCAGGTTTTTTATTATTCATACCATTTTCTGTCAAAAAACCCGATGCCATTGAATTATTACCCAAACAATATCCACTTTAATAATATAGTTTACTAACTTGCATTATACGATTAACTAATTTTAATTAATTACGTTCTACTTCGTATCGAATCAC